TAGCTATACCAATTCCTATACCTATACCAATTCCTATACCTATACCTTCACCTATACCAATGCCTATACCTATGCCTATACCTATACCTATACCAATACCTATACCAATTCCTATACCTATACCTTCACCTATATCAATACCTATACCAATTCCTATACCTATGCCTATACCTATACCTTCACCTATATCAATACCTATACCAATTCCTATACCTATACCTTCACCTATACCAATGTCTATACCTATACCTATACCTATTCCTATGCCTACACCTATACCTATGCCAATGCTTACACCTATGCAATGCCTATGTCTATGCCTATACCTATACCAATTCCTATACCTATACCTAATGTATACCTATACCAATGCCTATATCTATACCTATTCAGCTTTCTTGCCTCCAAGGCAACTCCCAGATTTTCTAAGACACATTTGATTTGAAATGTTTTCCTTTTAAAATATTTTTGCATTTATTTACTTAACTTATGAAAGGCATGTGGAAGCCAGAAGGCAACTTGTGTGAGTTGATTTTCTTTTTCCATGTGCATTCCAGGGAAAGTTGTCAGGCTTGGTGGCAAGCACCTTTATCCACTGAGTCATCTCCCAGTTCTGAAATAATTTTATCTTCAATAAGAAATCAGGGAGCTGGAGAGACGGCTCTGTGAGTAAGAACATTCACTGTGCAAAGATGAGAACCTGAGTTCAGGTTCCTGGCACACACAGGCACGCTGAGCATGGCTGGGCACACCCGTCACACCAGCACTCCGGGACAGAGACAAGTGGGGACTGGCGTTGGCTGGCCTAGCACATTTGATGAGCCCCAGGTTCAGTGAGAGACCCTGACTCAATGGAATAAGGCAGAAAATGATAGGACAGGACACCTGATGTCCTCCTTACGCGCACACCCAGGCACGTGCACCACATACACTTGCATGTACACAGCACACAAAACATTGGTAAAATAAAAATAAATCTTAAAAGAACTTAATCACCAACCACTATGCTGGCTGCAGAAAATAGCTTCACTCCTGCTTCACAAGAGAGGAAGCAGGCTGGGGAGGGTGCCTTGGGGACAAACACCACTGCAAGGTCACAGAAAGACTGTCATTCTCAGCTGCTCGCAGACCTAGCCCCCACTGGGCACCGCTGTGGGGCAGTTTGTCTGCTGACGTGCATAAGCCTCAGGCTGTCCTGGTGACCATATGAGCTCCGAGTGGGGAGAGTGGCCTGGCTTCTTTCTTGCTTTTGGTTCTGGTGCCACTTGGCTGAGTAGGCTTCAAAGGGCTTTTGAATAGAATGATAAACATGGCATTGTTTGGAACATCTGTACGCAAAATATGAGAAGACCTCACCCAGTGAATGCACAGCCCGGGCTCCTTCACCAGCAATGAGGAGTTTGTAGTTTGGCTAATGTGCCGAAATTAACCCGAAGTGCTTACCCATTGCAGAATGCCTTTTCATATTTTCATCTGCATGGTTGTTATTACAAAGTGTAAGAATAATTCTCTACCAGGGTATTGAGGACTCTGAATAGCTCAATTAGAATCAATGGAGGGAGACAACGGCAGGCCAGCTAATCAGCAGGTTTGCTAACAATCCTTTGAGGGAGTGTGTTCAGACGCATCGTGTGTGTGGTGTGTGTGTAGAGTGGTGTGTGTGTGTGTGTGTGTGTGTGTGTGTGTGTGTGTGTGTGTGTGTGCTGGATGTGGCACATGTGCATAAAGAGAAAACCAGAGCCAGCCCAACCCTTAAAGCAAGCCTAGAAGAACAGAGTTTCATTAACCATAGGGAAGAAAGTTCCAGAAGACAGAATGGGGTTATTATCTTCACATTGTGTGTTACCAGAATCAAGTATCATGTTTTTGCATGTAAGCCACTCATAGTAACTAATGTATTCATATCTATCTATCTATCTATCTATCTATCTATCTATCTATCTATCTCTGTTATTGTTTATTTATTTATATGAAAATGCCTCCATAGAAGGCAGATTCCTCACAGTGATGCCACGTTTGGGTTCTAGCAGAGAAAATCCTTGCAAATGGCTTTAGGAAAGGAATGGTGGCCACTGAGATTTCAGATCACTGCACTGCAAACAAGTCCTGGAGAGAGACTGCTTCTGCAAGGTCTGTTGGCCATGAGCAAGGCCGTCCCACATTGAAGCAGAGGCCACGTGCATGGTGTAAGACCCCAGGAGTGTGGCTCTAAGAGGGGTCAAAGGTCAGGCCTGAAACACCTGGGACAACCAAGAAAGGGGAGTGGCATGCCTGTAATCCAAGAATTTGGGAAGCTGGGGCAGGAGGACTGCACGTGTCCAGCCAGCCTGAGCTACGGAAGAACCATTACAAAATGACACAAACCCCATAGCACAGTGCTCTGGGGGAAAGAAAGAACATGCGGCCTGTGCTACAGATTCAGCACTGACAAATCTGAGGAAAGAAAGTTTGGACGCATGTCCCAGTAGAATTAGTACTCTTAAAACAGGTCTGTGAGTGAGAAGATAAGTAAAGAAATCACATTACGATGCAATGTGGGGTCCATGTGAAGGATGAAGGGTCTCCAGGGAAATGCAAGATGACAGTCACAGCCTTTGGTGGAGCTGTGGAGCCCTACTTTCTGCCTCTCAGCATTGAAGGCCTAAACTCCATTGCCATCCTCCAGTGCTGCCCCAGCTTAATCCAACCGGCAGAGAATGACCTTCGCCGACTAAACGCACCATAGACTGAGATATGCATCGAGGATGGCGTCTGATTCGATTTGAAATGAGAATGTGTCTGTCTGCCTAACAGATCTGGTCTCATTGTATCTTCTTCTTGGAAATGATCTCCACAGAAGGTCAACAGACTCGAAGGTTCTACAGCAGAAGGAGCAGAGCAAGAGGCTGGTGGGAGCACTTGAGAGTGTCATGGTTTTAGAGGCTGCATGTCTGCCCCCAGCACTCTAGAGGTACCAGCAAAACCTCCCACTACTCAACTCACAGGCTCATCAACTTCTTGCTGGGGTCCTGGCTTCCTTTTATATAGTCAAGGCTGGCCAGCTGTTGTTCTGGGTCCAGTAAGTCTGAATCCAGTCTCTTCCCACCTCAATACAGCCATCTTTTTCTTCCTTTCCCAAGGGACTATACTATTTAAAACATTGAAAGAGACATCAGGACCCAGTAATTAGTAGAGCATAAGGCCCAGGTCACATGCAGGGATGAGGATAGCCTGGCACACATCTGTGGTGATATTTTGTTTGTACTATAACAAATAAAATTTGCCTGAAGATCAGAGGACAGATCAGCCACTAGATTAAACATAGAGGCCAGGCAGTAGTGGCACACACCTTTAATCCTAGCACTCAGGAGGCAGAGATCCGTCTGGATGTCTGTGAGTTCAAAGTCACCCTGGACAACACGAGATTAATCCAGTCTAATGCTTGCCCCTGATTGGACCTGATGGGAAATAAAGACAGTGGCCTTATGGGATTGCCTTTTTAAGCCTTTGCAAAATGTGACTCATTTGTCATTTTCTGGGAACCCTGGAATGGTCCTGGCCAGAGTCCATCATCCTGGCCAGTATTTAATTAAAGCTTGCTTCAAATTTGGCTCAGAAATTATGGTAGTGGTCCTATTCTCAGCTGGTGGGATTAGCAGACGCCAGGTACCCCTCCCTGTGGCGGTTTGAATGAGAAGGCCCCCATAGGCTCATAGATTTGAATACTTGGCCCCAGTTACTAAAGCTTTTGGGAAAGATTAGGAGGCGTGACTTTGTTGGAGGAGGTGTGTCCCTACGGGCAGGCTTGGAAACTTCAAAAGATCCCTGTCACTCCCAATGTGCCTTTCTGCTTCCTACTTGCAGATCAAGGTGTGAGCTCTCAGCTGTTCCTGCTGCCATGTCTTTGCTCCGCCATCATGGACACTGACCCTCTGAATCCAGAAGCCCAATTAAATGCTTTAGTTGATAAGTTCTCTCGGTCATGGTGTTTTGTCACAGTAACAGAAAAGGAACTGAGACACTTCCCTGTGTCACCGTTGCGTCACCTCCCTTCTCAGCTGCCAGTCGCTGTCTATGCCTCTTCCACGTGCCCTATCGGAACTCTGTCTTGGTTCAGTGGCCTGCCATCTGCCTACTCCAGAAACACTATGGGAACAGGAGTCATACCCTTTCTGTACACGCACTGCGTTTGCCCTCAAACACACTTGCCTGTCTACTGAGACTGTATCCCCATAGGCAAGATCGCATGGCCTTCGGGAGACTCTGGCTCTGTGGCACGTGGCTCCCGATCTGTGTGCAGAGACAGCCCATGGCAGCACTGCCTTGGCATTATGGTAGATGGCCTGAAGGGAGCAGCGTGGGCTATGCTCATCCTGTGGGTTGGTGTTTGGACAGCCCCTCTCTGCAGTCCCAGTACCTGGCCCAGGAACCAGATGGAGCCTTTCGCTCAGGAGCCCTGCTAGCACAGGAGAGGCTCCAACCCCCTCTCCATCAGCGGAAACCTCAAGAAAACAGTCATGGGCTGCAATCACAACTCCAGAGTTAACTAGATGCATGAGAAAATGAGCAAAATGGACGCTGATTGGAGGACGTACAGTAGCTCACCTCACTCTGAACCTCAGCAAGCCGTGCCTCTCAGGACAGCTTTGGGTTTTTTTTTCCCATTTGTTTTCCTTAGCCAGTTAAACGCCTCCAGGGTGACAAATTTCAGGCAAGCTGGGAGCACTGGGGGCTTCAGAAAGGAGTCCAGACAGGTGACCTGTTTTGTCTGCATACCCTTCTCAGTCCAAAATCTTTCACTGGCTCCTTCCCTCCATCACCCTAGCTGGGTGCTGCATTCCTGCTACTTTCGGGGATTTGGGGGTTTTGTCACTTTTACACAAGAGGTACCTTTACCCAGTCTAACTTCTATAATCACAACAATAAATTCTAGACAAAGAAGGCACCTTTCCTTTGGAGTCTGGGTAGAACCCAACATCATCTCCTAGTATTCTGGAATCAGTTTCCATAACAACCACGCCTTTTGTTGTGCCCTAACTTAGCAGTCCTGTTGGGATAAAAGGGACAGCTCTCTCTCTCTCTCTCTCTCTCTCTCTCTCTCTCTCTCTCTCTCTCTCTCTCTCTCTCTCTCTCTCCCCCCCTCTCTCATCCCTTGACTCTCATATTCACCCACTGCTGCAGCCTGATACCAGCTGTTTGTTTAAAAACACAGCAATATACTTGGAAGTTCAGCCAATGAAGAGATCTAAAAGAGAAAAGAAGTGGGAATAACTGAAATGAGGACAACCAGGCTGTAGCAACAGCTGGGAGATTTACACCAAGGTCAATGGCATAAACTATGAGTGGAGAGCAACTAAGGTGGAATCTGTGCTATGGGGGCCCTGGGTGAGTCACATGAGCTCTCCGAGCCTCAACGATGCCTCTGTAAAGGATAGAGACTAGGATGCCACGTGATTGCATGAGTAAAAAAAGCAGACTTAAAGAGTACTTATTGCAGTGCTAACATACAGTAGGAATTCAGATGACAATTAGATTGTCAATAAGGAAAGTGCCTAAGGTTACACAGACCAGCTATTACAGTATCAGAACTGGCTTTTGCCCTTTGCAGAGTGAGGCTAGTAGTATGGAGAGCAGGTACTTAGGGATGTGTGTGTGTGGGGGGGAATATGTGGGTGTGTGAATGTTCCATGGTGTACATATAGAGGTCAGGGGACAATCCTGAAGTATTGGTTCTCACCTTTCCCCGTGTTTGAAACAGAATCTCTTTGCTACTTCCTAAGCCCTGCCAGCTGGACACCAGCTTACATGGATTCTTTGGTCTCTGCCTCCCATCTCTAGGTAAGGGCTGCTGGGATTGCAGATACTTTGACATGGGTTCTGAAGATCCAAACTCAAGTCATCTCCAACCCCTTGCTTTTTTTTTCTCCTCGAGGCCTCCAACACAGGGGGGGGGAGCGGGGGGGGGCGGGTGTGTGTGTGGAGACGTCGGCCTCATACCAGATTCTCCACCTCTCCACTGTGAGACAGCCATTGTTAGATTGCCTCATCATATCATATAAGACAATCTAATAAACCTCCTTTTAATGTATATATACATACATATGTATTCTCACCTTGAAGATACAGATGTATATATATTCATTCTTTAGAGAACCTAATACTAATACAGATGTGCTTTAGAAAATGTTTATTTATAGACAGCCAGGGAGGGGAACTTGGCCCAGGAGTGGTAATTGATTGACAGAGCCACGCATCACAGCATGGCTTCTCATGATTTCCCTCCAGAATATGTCTACCTCATGAGACATTTGAGATGTGTGGAGACCACTGTAGCAATGGTCTTGATTTCTTTGCATCTCTCTGCATCCCTGTGGTGGGGTGGGCACAATGTGCCCCAGTTCGGTCAGTGGGGCAATATTAAATGAGGTACAGGAGAACAAGGCTCATCATCTTGCTGTTCCCAGGTCTTCACACACACCGCTGTGTGTGTGTGTACACCATGGTGTACATATAGAGGTCAGGGGACAATCCTGAAGTATTGGTTCACACCAGCCTGAGACATTCCATTTCCCTAGCCAGCAGTGAGTGACCAGCAGCCAGCACGGACTGCCTATCAGATCATCTGAGACCAGCTGGTCCTGAACTTTCCACAGGGTGACTAAGGTCCCGTGAATGAGACCAGGTGAGCCTCAAAGAACTGCCAAATGGAGCCCTGCCCAGTTTCCTGAGCTAAAAGCACAATTATTCCAATCAACTAAGAGTTATGTGATTTTTTTTTCCCCCGCAGCAAAAAAGTGAAATACATTCCACAGGAAGTTCATTATCCTCTAAAGCTATAATGGGAGAAGCAAGGAGGTATATTTACAGAAATGGTTGAAAAAAAAAAAGACAGAGAAAAATACATATTTTTAAATATATTTGCATTTCAAAGATCTTGTCACCCACCAGCAGGGATGAGCCCTCCCATGTTCTTCCAGTGACTGAACAACTGTCCCTACCTGAGCAGACTTCTTTGTAGGTGGGATTGCGTGTGTAGCCTCCTGCAAAGCCCACTTGGGTTGAATACACGCCTTTTAAGAGCCAGAACTTGCGCTCGGCCCCCCAGAAGCAGCCCATTCCTGCAGAGAACAAAACAAAGATAAATCATGTATCCAAATCAAGGCGGTTACTATATGTCACCACACCTGTCGGGTGGAACGGAGAAGCTGATCAAGAAGGCCCAGAGTTAACACTGAAGAATATCTAAAGCAAAGGTTTCAGCACTGAAGAATAATACAGTGCCAGCAAGATGGCTCAGCATGTAGCAGGCCTGCTATAGAGCCTGATGACTGGAGTTCCATCCCCAGAGCCACAAATCCAGATGTGGAGGCTCCAATCTGTAATCCCGGTATTCTTGTGACAAAACGGTGGTGGGCTGAGCTCAGCAGAATCACCCTGGACCATGTACAGAACAGCAGGAACCACAAGAGGCCTCAACAGGTGGAATGAGAGAACCAGTGCCCAGGAAGATGTGCTCTGTCCTCCACATGCACACACACACACACACACACACACACACACACACACACACACACACACTAATAAGTGACCATATTAAAACTTCTCAAAACAATTTAAAGATAGCAAAAATACACTTTTCCAAATAACATAGTAAAAGGGTAACTATTTTAAGAATATTTCCACATTTACTTCATAAGTTAATAGAAATTTACGCAATGATTGTAACAAAGATGTGTAAGTCTGCGTTGATTAAAAAGGGGAAACATACAAGATCAATAAAGATTGAGGCAGTTATTGCCAACTAACAACTTCACAGATACATTCAGCTTTAAAAAAATATTAAGTTACAATAAATATGCAAGTAATAAGGCAAGGCTCACCCCAAAAGTAAAATTTTGTGAGTTCTATTACTTAGCAAATGGGCGAGGGGTTGGAAAGGGGGTTCAGGGCAGCTAAGAAACTACAAGCAACCAACAAACTCAACCCGCCATCACCGCGTTTAGACCAGCTGTCACTAGATCCCTTTGGCCATCTGACGCAAACCAAGACTTGGCTTTGCAAAGCACACATGCACACGTGATAAAGGCTGCATTGCCCCAACATTGGACCTCCACCTTCTACAGGAAGATCCCCAGCTGCTTAGGATGCCTGCTGCTCTCTGACCCATTTCCGCACATATATAAGCAAAACTGCTCTCTCTCCCAAGTTTCATATGCCTTCAATGAGTCACATATGATTTTATTGGTTACTTTTTTGTTGCTGTGATAAAAAACACCATGACCAAAGGCAACTTAAGGAAGAGCCCATTTTGGCTCACATTTCCAAAGAGTGATGAATCTGTAAAGGTGGGGAAGGCGTGGCAGCAGGCACAGGAAGCTGAGAGATTATATTTCAACTACACACAGGAAGCCAAGAAGAACTGGAAGTGGGGTGAGGCTACAAGCCCTCAGAGCCCTCTCCGGTGATATACTTCCTCCAGCAAGGCTGCACCTCCTGAAAGTTCCATAACCCTCACTACACCACTCACTGGCGACCAAGTGTTCAAATAACATTTTTTATCCAAATCAACACTTTAAGTTCTAGGTGAAACAAGTGGGAGAATGAGCACATGCCTTTGGAGCAGAAGCTCTCCACTAGCTAGACTTTTGATGGGACGATAAGAATATATACTTCATGACATTCTTAACATTCGCTAATATTGTACTTTTAAAAAAAATCAAAGTAACGTGGTAACTAAAAAAAGATGGTGGACAAAAAGTTCTACAGTATACAGAAATATTCTATTAAAATGGGAGCAGAAATCTAGCAAAAATAGGTTAATAGCTTTCAACAGTGATAAATCAAAATAATGAAATTCAATGCAGTAAAAATTACCATTATGTTGATAGTACCACATGTATATGATTATATCATAATTATCTACAGCTAAATTAAAAAGGAAAAACACAATTATATGCATGCTTTTATTATAACTATAAAGAAATAATCATACCAAAATAGACTGGAAAGAAATGTATTAAATTTGTAACCAGGGTTTTATCAGAGTGACATATGTAAAAAAGCCTTCTTTTTATTTTTCGGAATTTTCTGGCTCTGGGTGTGGTGGCTCACACCCGTAATCTCAGCACAGGAGAGGCTAGGGTAGCAAGATTTGCTGCAAGATCAGGGCCAGCCTAGGCTACAGAGTAAAACCCTGGTGGGGGGGAGGGGACACTTTTTCCTGTAGTAGCTCCCTATTAGTTTAAAAATGTAACACATAACCATTTTTAAAAAGCAGAGCACGTAGTGACAGCGTAAGAGTCTATGCCCCTCGAGTGTCTTCTGTAATATCATCTCTCCTGTTGTCGAATGGATTGTTTGCTGGGAGTAAACATAAAGTGTACTGAGCATCTTTCAAACCGAGTGGCCGTGGCCGTGGCCGTGGCCGTGGCCGTGGCACGTGGGGTCACTGGCAAGCTGGTTTTCTTGCAGTGTCCTGGCTTAGCCAAGACAACAGGGCACAGCTGGGGAAGAAAAAAGGGAGTTGGGCAGCTCCCCCCTGGGTACAAAGAGTTGTGCTGAGCTGAGGGTTCTGACCATAGAGGGTCTAACATCTGTGGGGCTCTGTGAACAAAACAGTGCTGCACTGTGCCATGACTTACAGTGATGGTGCCCAAGGGTGCCGTGGACTTCCACAAGCAGTGCGTTTTAAAAGGCCATTTGACTGCCATCCCTCCCTGACCTTTCAATGCAGGCCCAGTTGGTCCCAGGCTGTCCAGGCCATCCTGTGGTGGTATTCTAATTGTACTGAAATGTGATTTTGATTGTATGTTAATAAATAAAGTTGCCCGGGGGTCAGAGCTATTAGAGCCATAGACAGAGTGTGGCGGTGGTGGCACACGCCTTTAATCCCATAGATCTCTGTGTGTTCAGGGATACAGCCAGCATTGGAGACATACGCCTTTAAGACCTAGAGGGCTATACGTACAGACAGTGACGAGGCAGTTACGTGTTTGGGTTTACAACCAATGAGAAGGCAGAACAATAATACTATAAAAAAGACGTACAGACAGGATATTGCTCTCTTTCGGGAAGCTGGGACACTGCAGGCGGAAGGGTGAGATTTTAGCTCTGAGCTCTGACCTCTCAGCTTTCTCTTTTACATTGTTTCTGTGTTTCTTATTTAATAAGACTGTTGGTTACATCGACACCATCCATCTGTATGATACAGCGGTCTCCCTTTATCTGTGGCTTCACTTTCTTGTTAACAAATCATTATCTAAAAGTATCCAGTAGAAAATTCCAGAAATAATCAGTTCCCGGTTTATAAATTGTACCCCGCCCCATGTAGTGTGAGGAGATTTCACACCACTCCATTCTTTCCCAGTCAGTTCATGAGCCATCCCTTGTCCGGTGTATCCACTCTGTCTATGCCTCCACCCATTAGTGTCTTTGCCATCTCAGAAATCAGATCAACTGTGGCAGTATTTCAGTGCTAGTATTCAGAGAGCCCTTATTGGCTTTAGAGAAGGCCTCAAAGTTCAAGAGTGGTAGTCAAAGGGATGCCAACACACAGAATAGAAGCCACAGAACGCATGCCAAGTGGCCTATTGCTTCAGGCAGTTCTTGAAGCATCCTCCACAGATAAGGGTTGACTGTTCTATAAGCTTTTAAAGACAAGCAGTGGAGGTTTGAATGAGATATCACCAGCTGCTGGAGCTGTTTGGTGAGGCTTTGGAGGTGTGGTGCCGCTGGTGGCGGCGATAGTTGCCATCGGAAAAGTCACAGCCAGGCTACCTGAGTTACAAAGAGCTTTATTAGAAAGAAGGAGAGGGTAGGAGGGGAGAGAGCCAGGCCTGGAGAGAAAGAAAGATGGCGGGAGCAGAGCAGGGAACAGGGAGAGAACACAGAGAGAGTGGGGGTCCACGTCCAGCTTTTTTAAGGCACAGATTGCCTGACCACGTAGTTGCCAGCACCTGCTGATTGACCTAAGTCGTAAGACACAAGACCCTGAGCTGTGCAGGATCCTAACAGGATTGGAGGAAGTATATCGCTGGAGGTGGGATTTTTGAGTTTAAAGACTCACTGGGTGGTGGTGGCACATGCCTTTAACCCCAGCACTTAGGAAGTAGAGACAGATGGAGCTCTGAGTTCGAGGCCAGCCTGGTCTACAGAGCAAGTTCAAGGACAGCCAGGGCTACTCAGTAAAACAAAAGCAAAAAGGACTCACACTGTTCCCAGTTTCCTCTCTGCCTTGTGCTTGAAGTTCAAACAGTGAGCCCCAAGCTTCTGCTCCCAGCATCTAGTCCCTGTCTCCTGCTGCTCTGCTCACCAACATGGATTCGAGCCCTCCGTAACCTGGATGCTCAGAAATTCAGATAAACTCTTCTATAAGTTGCCTTAGAAGTTGGTCCCAGGAGTAGGATATTGTGGTAACAGACCTGGCCATGCTGTTTCATAGAGGAACACAAAGAACTTTGGACTAGAAAAGTGGCTGAACAGAGCTTAATGAACCATCCTAGTAGGAGCTTAGAAGACAGCAGGGCTGAAAGCCGTGTAGACTGTGGAGGCTCAGCTGCAGGGGTCTCAAAGGGGAGCAATATCAGCAACCAGGCTAGAGATCATTCTTGAGATATTTCGGCAAAGAACATGGCTGTCTGGTCTTATCCTAAGAAGTTGCCTGAGTAACATACTAATTTCTTTGGTGGAGGAAACATCAAGACAGCCTAATATTGACCCCATCACGTGGTTATTAGTAATCACTCTTGTGTAGATCTGCAGTGAAAAAGAGCAAAGGACTAAACAAATACAAAATACACAGTTCAGTAAGCAAAAAGAGCACCAGGAACCTTAATGTTGCAGCCAAGGCTTGCAGACAAGGGGGTCGAGAGAGGCCTGATCTGCATTGCCATAAAGGGAAGGGTATGCTCGGGGAAAGACTTCATCTAGCTCAGCTTCTAACTTGTAAAAAGGAACGGCCTAAAGAATGTTGTCCACATGCTTCTGGCTTTAGAGACATGCAGGACATACAAGCCAAGTGGTTGCAGAATTTTCCTCCATGGTTAAGGAGAGCCGCTGAGCCCAGGCATGTGGCGGGGGAGTCTCTACATGGAGGCCCAGAAAGGCTCCTGCTTAAAGCTGTGAAAGCGAAGCCTGGATTGCCTGGAAGACCCCAAGATGTCAGAGAAGCCAGAGCCATGGGATATTTGCCAAAGAGAGCTGCAGACAGGGAGTGGAACCAGCCCCAAGAGTGCTTGTTGCAGGCAGCAAAGCTAGAAGGGTGGAGCCATCTAAGGCTTTTCACACTGGATATGGAGCTACAGGATTTGAAGTTTGCCCTTCAAAGGTTCCATACGACTCCAGTCCAGGATTTCTTCACTATGCCTCCATTCCTCTCTTTGGGAATAGGAAGGTATCTTTTGTGCCCTTATATGTTAGAAGTATGTAATTTTCTTTTTTATTTCACATAGGCTTATAATTAAGAGACTGTCTCAGAAAAGACTGAATTTTAGACTTTTAAACAATGTTGATATTGTGAAAAACTGGGGACTTTTGAAACTAAACTAAATGCATTTGCACTGTAGGATGGTCAGGAGAATATGGGGGCCAGGGAGTGGAATGTGGTGGTTT